GATAGAATGGAAGATATGTTACAGAGATAGAGATGATTTTGATTGGTTTTAGTACTGAAAATAGCTTAAAATTGAGCTCAGCTTAGCAGAAATGTTCAATTTTTGCGGATGTTCAAGAGTAAACAAATCACATTATGCATCCAATATACATCAGCTGGTTGGACTCATGTGCATTCACAAATGTGCTGCTATTATTTATACAATTATTACAGTATTGTATAACAGTAAATCTTTTATTTTTTGGTGTGAATAAATATTCTTTGTAAATAAAAAATAAAAATGGAATTCATCTGTAAAGCCTGGAAACATAACTGATAAACAGAGGAAATGTTATTTTAGTGTCAGAAATGCCTACATTGTTTATTCTGGACCCTATTTTGAAATTGGGATATTTTGAACTTTGTGTGAAATTGGCCAAATTACCAATTTCTGATCACTTTATTGGGTAGTTGAAATAATTGATGCGGCAATTTCTTGTGCTCAGTAGATGAAATGGAACACATACTAGCAAAAGAGCTAAGAATTTGGTCAAATGGAACAACGTAATTGGCCAAAAATAGGACTCAGATTGGGCAATATCTCTGACACAGCAAAATTTGCAAGAGCGTAATTTCGTCAGTTTTTTTTTTTTTTTATTAAATTTCGTACTTTTTGTTTTATTACCTTCAGAAAAAGATTCTGCACTATTTCATAAGAAAAATAATAATTATTTTTTTTTAAATTTTGGACCCTATGGGGAAAGCGGTAAGCAGTTGGTAAGCAGTCTGGACCCTCAAGGGTCCAGACCGCTTACCGACCTACTCTTAGGAAAGGAATCCCGTCGCTAAGTGAGGAGAGGCTGTATTCAAACACTGCTCGCATACTAATACCCCAACTCACCACTGTATTGGCCTCTGCTCCACAACCAGGGCTCTGCCAAGAATCTCCTCTTTTCCTGCTATGCTTGACCTTATTTACTGTATTTAGGACCTTGCTCCCATCCCCCAGCTGTGAAATATATGGTTTTCATTAGACTATGAACATGGGATGTTCCTAAGAACTGTAATCCCAGAATTCAAGCAGGATGTAGGGTATTAGTACCAGAATCTTTCAAAATCAAACATTTGATTTTTTTTTTCATTGCTGCTCTATTCAGTAATCTCTCCCTCTTTGTATTTTACAGAAAATGAGAGAAATAGCTGATAAAAAGTTTTATTACTAATCTAATTTTTTTTTTAATTAAGCTGTTACATCAATGAAAGATGCAAACACAAATGACAAATTCAAAAAGGAGCAAAGGTTAGGGCTTGCAGAGAGCATCAGTGGTTGAGAACAACATCAAATGAAGTTGTAAATTGTTTCAATAGTGTATTTGCTTCAGGGAGGGTACCAGGATAATAATACATAAAGGGCTTTTAACAGCAGGAAGTGAAATTACCCTTCCCATACTCAGACCAAACTTGATTTACCAAAAACTCGCACTTAGGAGAAGAATGTTGAGATAGCATTTTGGTCCTTCCTGGACCATTGTCAAAGGAGCACATGAGTAGTAGTAGCAGCAGCATCAGCAGCAGCAGCAGCAACAATGACAGTGGTGGTACTAACAGTAGTAGCAGTGGTAGTAGTAATGAGGAAGTTGTAGTGGTAATGGAAAAACAAGTGGTAGAAGTAATAGTAGAATTGTAGTATTGGTATTGTAAAAGAACAAGAGAACAAAGAAGCACTGATGGAGGGTTTCTGGCCCACAGGCTTATGGGTAAAAAAAAAAAAATTGGGACAAAGCACCTTCAGGAAAAACCCAGGGATAGAACCCACCAAGGCAAAAGACAGGAAAGACAGAAAAAGATAATGAGAAGACAAATGAACTGGAAGGAGAGCAGGCAGTAAAGGTTAAGTCAAGTCACAGGTGTTCCAAAGTTTTGAACATTTGACAACACATTGACAAAGGCAGGCATCTACAGAAATGAAGTCAGAACTAATATTCATTTTAGGAAAATTGTGTATAAGAGCTGCTTCAAAAAGTTAGCATTTTTGATGGCTAGAAGTAGGGTACTTTTAGCAGAGGACCAGTTAATAGGATGGCTGTGATCTTGGATATGACAGAAAAGATCATTGTTGGTGTCACATCTTTTGTGCTCTTTAAGTCTGTCAGAAAAGGAATGGCCAGTTTCACCAAAGTATTGGAGATGACAGGAAGGGTAAGAAATGGAGTAGACACCAAAAGCATCAGTGACAGGAAGAGAAGCATGAACAAGATTTGTTTAAAAAAGCAAGTGTGATAGCTAAAAGACTGTGGGTGTTGTTAAGATTTTGAAGATTGGATATATAGGGAAGGCAGAGAATAAGAGATTTCACAGGAGTTGTGTGTCTAGGAGAGAAAAAAGTGCCCTTAGCATTAAGATAGGCAGAATTTATGAAATCAGAAGGATAGTCAAAGTGAGAAAATGATCTGTAAAGAGTGGAAATTTCAGTGTTACAGAATTGAGGGCCACAGCTGTAGAGGGTATGATGGAAGAGAGAGAGAGAGAGAACAAGAACACTTTTCTTGACAGAGGAAGATAAAAAAAGCAGGGAATCTACATTTCACTAAATAGGCTTGTGGTAGATGGAAAAAGAAAACTAGTCACATAGCAGTGAACATGAGCATAAGGAAAGGAAGCAGAGAGTCAGATTCCCATTCAGCCGTGAACTTGATATAGGAAGCAAGATTGTTAAGGACATCAAGAAAAGATTGGAAGAGATTTGGAGTCATTTGGCCATAGAGCAAAGATATCATCTACGTAGCGAAGCCAGGGAGAAGGGTGTACCCCGCTAGTAGCAAGTAGAACTGTTTTGAAAAGGTAAGCAAGGACAGGGGATAGAGAAGAGCCTTTAGCAGCACCAAAAGTTTGAGAATAGAATTTACCATGAAAGAAAAAAAAAAAAGTCCTCACGAAGGTATATTTGGTCAAGAAAAATGTCATTTGGGATAAAGAGATGAAGTAGCCCTTCATTGGCATTTATGCTAAGAAAATTGAGAACATCACCTTCCACACCATTGATTATCTCCCATTATCACTTTGCATGGTAATAAGGGTCTTTTTTTTTTTTTGCATAGTTTCACAAGTTCTGCTGTTTCAGATATGATGTGTGATGGTCCTCAGATGGGTCCCATGATGGGTGGTGGTCCTGGTTTTATGAGACCTCCTGGGCCACTAAGACATCCTGGGCCACCAGGGCCTCCTGGCTATGGACCACCCCATGGGCCACCCCATGGACCACCTCATGGACCACCTCATGGACCACCCCATGGACCACCTCATGGACCACCCCATGGACCTCCTCATGGACCACACCATGGGCCACATCATGGACCACCCCATGGACCACATGGCCCTCCAGGCCCACATGGTCCTCCAGGCCCACATGGGCCACCAGGTCCCCATGGGCCACCTGGCCCCCATGGACCACCTGGCCCCCATGGACCACCTGGCCCCCATGGACCACCAGGTCATGGTCATGATCTTCATGGACCTCCAGGTCATGGTCCTCCTGGGATTGGTCCCCATGGTCCACATGGACCACCAGGACAACACCCTCCACACCCATCAGTACATGGTCCACAAGGGCCCGGTAATCATGGTTATGGCTTGCCAGGCTCTAACCAACTGCCTCCCCACACACAGGGTCCTCCTCACTTAGGTGGCCCTGGCCTTGGGCCCCCAGGTTCTGGGCCCCTCAGAGGGGTTCATCCCCCACCTCCTCCACCTCCTGGTATGATAACCCAACAACAACATGGCCCCAACACTGTAGCTTCACCCTTCCTTCCTGCAGTTATCTCCAAGCCACCCACTATTATCAGGTGTGTATTTTTTTTTTTCATAAATTTCATAAGTTACAGTATTGTACTGCAGCTGGAACAATTTGGAGAAGAAATTTTGGATGACATTTTGGTTTATCATGGACTATATTCATGACATTAAAATTTGATATTGGTGCAGTATCATTTGCAGATGAACATGAAATTTAAGAAAGTTCATCCAGTAATTTGGTGCCAGTTTGTTTAAAGGGCTTATGGCCAGTGAGGACAAATTTCTACTAGCTTTTCTGCATCTGTTTTTTGATGTATGGATTCAGCACTTCACATTTTCTGCATCACATTTTTTGATATATTGATTCAGCACTTCACACACAAAATAAATGATTGCTTGGCATAATAATACTGATTTTCTGTCTGTTAACCCGTAAATGGTCCAAACATATATATAAGTTCTTACCGCTAGTGCCCCAAACGTAAATATACATTTTATTTTTTTCTGCCTCCAAATTTGGCACAATTGGCCTGAGATGCCTGGTCAGCACAGAATGGGTCTTAACACTTGGTGTGCACCATATTAAAAAAAAATCTGGGACCACTTAGTGCCTTGTGGGAGCGCCAGTTATATTAAGCGCCAGCTAGAGCAAACAGTGGGACAAACCAAGGATTCACTAATGTAATGTCATATTAACACTCCCCTTTTAAGAGGAAATTTATGTTAACCCTAAGTTTAGGGTCTGCCTATCTGTCTCTGTCTATTTCTGTCTATCTCTATCTCTGTCTATCTGTCTCACAGGTACACACAAATGCAATTATACATAGTGTAAATTACGTAGGATAACCTAAAAAATTAGTAGTGCTATACTATGCTTGTAGATATAATACATAAGAATACCTGTTGGTTCACAGTGGCTCTCTCTGAGACAGACAGAGAGATGAGCAGAGAGACAAGCAGACAGAGAAATAAGACAGAGAGACAAATAATCAGAGATAAAAGCTCATCAAATGTCATTCCTTATCTGTGCACCCTTGCTGGCACCCATCAAATGTCATAGCTTATCTCCTCTTATCTCTGCACTATCTCATCTTATCTCTGCACCCTCCTGGTGCCCATCAAATGTCGTTTCATATCTGATCTTATCACTGCCCTCCCAGATGCATGTCACTGAACACTTATCTTACACATTGCTTCAAGGGAATTTCTTCCTTCTTCCTCCTCCTCCTTCCTTCTTCCTCCTTCTATACTCCCATGTATCCTAAACATTGTAACAATTTGAGGACAGTTTCAGTACTGTACCTAATATTAGTGTCAGAACAAAGATTGGTTATGAAATGACAAGAGCTACAATAAATTGTGATTATCAGAACATAAAAATTATATAAAATACTGTAATATAAAAATGAGAAAAAATGGTATATCAGCAACACTTCTGCAAGCGGCAGGACTCTATGTTGCCGTCAGGTGAGCATTAAGTGCCAACTTTGCAGCCTCATATCTCAGTAAGTACTGATCCTATTTTTTTATTTTAATCCTATAACACTTAGAAAATTGTGCTCTTTATTTTCATTAAAAAATTATTTTTTATTTTTCAAAATATTTGGGGCACTGGGGTAGTGAACATATTTATATATACGTTTGGACTGTTTACGGTTTAATAGAGGATTTCTGTAATTTAATTTTGTTGATGTGAAATGATGAAGCTAGGTCTATACAGTATATGGTTAATACTTGCTCAACAAATGTTTTTAGAACCTAATTTCAAATAAGGCCTTATAATAATCAGAATTCCTGTGTTGAATGGATTTTTTCACTCGTACAATGACTTCATGCTAGGTCATCATCACCACCAAACAGTAGTGCTGTTTGATTCCTGAATTCTCTACTTGTAGCTCAACTTCTCCATATGTCTCAGTTGTGTAGAGAATTATCCCTCAGTTCTCTCAGTGCTCTCCCTTTAAGTGGGAATACAAGTTTTGTTATTTACACGAGAAGGAAGATTAGTCACAAGGACAGACAGTTGCCCATATCTAACTAGAATATAGCCATCCACATTCTTTTGTGACTTTTTGCTTTGACCCATCATGGTGCCCTACGATTCTTTTGTCTCGGTGCTCAATCATTTCTAGGTCCTCTTTTCTCTACACAGTGCTACTTAGTTTCTATCCTTAGCCTCATCTCTTATCTCTTCCTAGAAAGTTTCTACTCTCACTGGTTAAGGAAAAGGTCTGTGTGTCCTTCCTCTCCATGAGCACCCAGTAGTGCTGCATGCCCTTGCTCATGCCACCACTTCTGTGATGCATTGAAAAACTGCTAAACCTCCAGAATGATCTACCTACTCAGTTATCTTCTGATGCTGTAGTTGTGTCTGCTGTTACCTTCACTTCTAGCTGTCACCCCCAGTCATTCCTCCTGAACGCAGCCCACGATGTCTCGGAAGTGGAGATGCTTGTGAGCCTAACTGCTTTTACAGTAGTTACTGCCCCAATGACTTCTCACATACTATTGGTCTTTGGAGCAGTGTCCTCTTGCCTCTAAGCATGCAGCTATCAGTCTGCAAAGCACCCTAGAGGTCTGCACACCACCACAGTATTCAATGAAGGGCTCATATACATAGGCAAGGGAGGTTGACAGCACAATAACATGTGTTAGACCATACTGGACCAAGTGGTGGGAATATATCTGGCATATTGCTTTGGGCCTTTCAAGACCCCTTATGCAGTGATGCATCTTTTTAGGGGTCAAAATAAATCTTTTTGTGTAAGTTAAGGTAGAATGTTTATGGTTAGCTTTTGGGCCAGCAATTATTACAGACACTGGCAGCTAGTAGAAACAATTTCAATCCTCCATTTAGTTTTTGTACATGCAGTGTATATGATCTTGTATGTGACGCTGCTAGACAGACCTTTCAATCATAAAGTGTTTGGTTTAATATTTTTTGTTATAGCAGTGTTCCACTCTGTTGTAAATAGATTAAAATATACCTTAATTTTAATAATACTGCAGTACCGTACTTTATTACTATTGTCATTCTGCGTTATACTTTGGTATTCATTAGGCAAAATTTCTCTTCTGCATTCTGTAACATTTATATCATTCTTTCTGATTACAACATAGTGGTATATACCAAATGTTTTGAAAATCCCCTTTATTTATTTTTTTTAAACACATCGGCCATTTCTCACCAAGGTAGGGTGGCCTAAAAGAGAAAAACTTTCACTATCATTCACTCCATCACTGTCTTGCCAGAGGTGTGCTTACACTACAGATATAAAACTTCAACATTAACACCTCTCCTTCAGAGTGCAGGCACTGTACTTCCCATCTCCAGGACTCAAGTCTGGTCTGCCGGTTTCCCTGAATTCCTTCATAAATATTACCCTGCTCACACTCCAACAGCATTTCAAGTCCTAAAAATCATTTGTCTCCATTCACTCCTATCTAACACGGTCACGCATGCTTGCTGGAAGTCCAAGCCCCTTGCACATAAAACCTCCTTTACCCCCTCCCTCCAACCTTTCCTAGGCCAACCTCTACCCCGCCTTCCCTCCACTGTAGATTTATACACTCGAAGGCATTCAATTTTGTTCCATCCGCTTATCATGTGTGAACCACCTCAACAACCCCTCCTCAGCCTTCTCGATAATAGTTTTGGTAATCCTGCACCTCCTTGTAATTTCCAAACTGCAAATTCTCTGCATTATATTTACACCACACATTCACCACCCATGCTTCACACCCATATAAGTTTTTTTTTTTTTTATTTCTCCCCCAACAAGTCGGCCGTCTCCCACCGAGGCAGGGTGACCCAAAAAAGAAAGAAAATCCCCAGAAAGAAAATACTTTCATCATCATTCAACACTTTCACCTCACTCACACATAATCACTGTTTTTCCAGAGGTGCTCAGAACACAACAGTTTAGAAGCATATACGTATAAATATACACAACATATCCCTCCAAACTGCTAATATCCTGAAACCCCTACTTTAGAGTGCAGACATTGTACTTCCCATTTCCAGGACTCAAGTCTGCCTATATAAAAATAACTGGTTTCCCTGAATCCCTTCACTAAATATTACCCTGTTCACACTCCAACAGATCATCAGGTCCCAAATACCATTCGTCTCCATTCACTCCTATCGAACACGCTCATGCACGCCTGCTGGAAGTCCAAGCCCCTCGCCCACAAAACCTCCCTTACCCCTTCCTTCCAACCTTTTCGAGGACGACCCGTACCCCGCCTTCCTTCTCCTACAGATTTAAATGCTCTCCATGTCATTCTACTTTGATCTATTCTCTCTAAATGACCAAACCACCTCAACAACCCCTCTTCAGCCCTCTGACTAATACTTTTATTAACTCCACACCTTCTCCTAATTTCCACACTCCGAATTTTCTGCATAATATTCACACCGCACATTGCCCTTAGACAGGACATGTCCACTGCCTCCATCCGCCTCCTCGCTGCTGCATTCACAACCCAAGCTTCACACTCATACCCCTCAAGGAAGGTTCCTTGATGTTGGTGAGGGGCTCTTGATTTAGGGAATTGGATCTGTGCTCCAATTCCCCGAATTAAGCCTGAATGCCTTCCACATCCCCCCCCCAGGCGCTGTATAATCCTCCGGGTTTAGCGCTTCCCCCTTGATTATAATAATAATTCACACCCATATAAGAGTGTTGGTACTACTATATTTTCATACATTCCCTTCTTTGCTTCCATAGATAACGTTTTTTGACTCCACATATACCTCAACGCACCACTCACCTTTTTTCTTTCATCAATTCTATGATTAACCTCATCCTTCATAAATCCATCCGCCGACATGTCAACTCCCAAGTATCTGAAAACATTCACTTCTTCCATACGTCTCCTCCCCAATTTGATATCCAATTTTTCTTTTTCTAAATCATTTGATACCCTCATCACCTTACTCTTTTCTATGTTCACTTTCAACTTTCTACCTTTACACACACTCCCAAACTCATCCACTAACCTTTGCAATTTTTCTTTAGAATCTCCCATAAGCACAGTATCATCAGCAAAAAGTAACTGAGTCAGTTCCCATTTTGTATTTGATTCCTCATAATTTAATCCCACCCCTCTCCCGAACACCCTAGTATTTACTTCTTTTACAACCCCATCTATAAATATATTAAACAACCATGGTGACATTACACATCCCTGTCTAAGACCTACTTTTACTGGGAAGTAGTCTCCCTCTCTTCTACACACCCTAACCTGAGCCTCACTATCTTCATAAAAACTCTTTACAGCATTTAGTAACTTACCACCTATTCCACATACTTGCAAAATCTGCCACATTGCTCCCTATCCACTCTGTCATATGCCTTTTCTAAATCCATAAATGCAATAAAAACTTCCCTACCTTTATCTAAATACTGCTCACATATATGCTTCAATGTAAACACTTGATCTACACATCCCCTACCCACTCTGAAACCTCCTTGCTCATCCGCAATCCTACATTCTGTCTTACCTCTAATTCTTTCAATTATGACCCTACCATACACTTTTCCTTGTATACTCAGTAAACTTATTCCTCTATAACTTTTACAATCTCTTTTGTCCCCTTTCCCTTTATATAAAGGGACTATACATGCTCTCCGCCAATCCCTAGGTACCTTCCCCTCTTTCATACATTTATTAAACAAAAGTACCAACCACTCCAACACTATATCCCCCCCTGCTTTTAACATTTCTGTCATGATCCCATCAGTTCCAGCTGCTTTACCCCGTTTCATTCTACGAAATGCCTCACGTACCTCCCCCACACTTACATTCTGCTCTTCTTCACTCCTGAAAGATGGTATACCTCCCTGGCCAGTGCATGAAATTACTGCCTCCCTTTCTTCCTCAAAACTTAAAAGTTCCTCAAAATATTCTCGCCATCTACCTAATACCTCCCTCTCCCCATCTACTAACTCCCCTACTCTGTTTTTAACTGACAAATCCATACGTTCCCTAGGCTTTCTTAACTTGTTTAACTCACTCCAAAATTTTTTCTTATTTTCATTCAAATTTCTTGACAGTGCCTCTCCCACTCTATCATCTGCTCTCATTTTGCACCCTCTCACCACTCTCTTCACCTTTCTTTTACTCTCCATATACTCTGCTCTTCTTATAACACTTCTGCTTTGTAAAAACCTCTCATAAGCTAACTTTTTCTCTTTTATCACATCCTTTACTTCATCATTCCACCAATCACTCCTCTTTCCTCCTGCCCCTACCCTCCTATAACCACAAACTTCTGCCCCACATTCTAACACTGCATTTTTAAAACTCATCCAACCCTCTTCAACCCCCCCCCCCCCACTACTCATCTTTGCACTAGCCCTCCTTTCTGCCAATAGTCGCTTATATCTCACCCGAACTTCCTCCTCCCTTAGTTTATACACTTTCACTTCCCTCCTACTTGTTGTTGCCACCTTCCTCCTCCCTTAGTTTATACACTTTCACTTCCCTCCTACTTGTTGTTGCCACCTTCCTCTTGTCCCATCTACCTCTTACTCTAACTGTATCTACAACTAAATAATGGTCTGATGTATCAGTTGCCCCTGTATAAACATGTACATCCTGGAGCCTACCCATCAACCTTTTATCCACCAATACATAATCTAACAAACTACTTTCATTACGTAGTACATCATACCTTGTATATTTATTTATCCTCTTTTCCATAAAATATGTATTATTACCAAATCTCTTTCTACACATAGCTCAATTAAAGGCTCCCCATTTACATTTACCCCTGGCACCCCAAATTTACCTACTCCCTCCACAACATTTTTACCCACTTCAGCATTGAACTCCCCAACCACAAGTACTCTCACACTTGGTTCAAAACTCCCCATGCATTCACTCAACATTTCCCAAAATCTCTCTCTCTCCTCTACACTTCTCTCTTCTCCAGGTGCATATACGCTTACTATAACCCACTTTTCACATCCAACCTTTATTTTACTCCACATAATCCTTGAATTAATACATTTATATTCCCTCTTTTCCTGCCATATCTTATCCTTCAACATTATTGCTACTCCTTCTTTAGCTCTAACTCTATTTGAAACCCCTGACCTAATCCTATTTATTCCTCTCCACTGAAACTCTCCCACCCCCTTCAGCTTTGTTTCACTTAAAGCCAGGACATCCAGATTCTTTTCATTCATAACATCCACAATCATCTCTTATCATTTGCACAACATCCACGCACATTCAGACTTCTCACTTTGACAATTTTCTTCTTATTATTCTTTTTAGTAATCTTTACAGGAAAAGGGGTTACTAGCCCATTGTTCCCGGTATTTTAGTTGACTTTTACAACACGCATGGCTTATGGAGGAAAGATTCTTATTCCACTTCCCCATGGATATAAAAGGAAAAGTAATAAGACCAAGAACTATTAAGATAAAATCAAAGAAAACTCAGATGAGTGTGTATAAATAAACATGTACATGTATGTGTAGTGTGACCTAAGTGTAAGTAGAAGTAGCAAGACATCCCTGTAATCTTGCATATTTATGAGGCAGACAAAAGACACCAGCAATCCTACCATCATGTAAAACAATTACAGGCTTTCATTTTACAACCCATATAAGTGTGTTGGTATAACTATACTCTCATACATTCCCCTCCTTGCTTCCATGGACAGAGTGCTTTGTCTTCACAGACCCCTCAGTGCACCACTCACCTTTTTCTCCTCGTCAGTTCTATGATTCACCTCATCTTTCATAGACCCATCTTTTGACATGTCCACTCCTAAATATTTAAATACATTCACCTCCTCCATACTCTCTCCCTCAAACCTGATATCCAATCTTTCATTATCTAAGTTTTTTGTTATCCTTATCACCTTACTTTTTCCTGTATTCACTTTCAGTTGTCTTCTTTTACATACCTTACCAAACTCATCCACCAGCCTCTGCAACTTCTCTTCAAAATCTCCCAAAAGCAGAGTGTCATCAGCAAAGAGCAACTGTGACAACTCCTACTTTGTGTTATTCTTTATCTTTTAACCCCAAACCTCTTGCCAACACCTGAGCATTCACGTCTCTTACAACCCTATCTATAAATATATTGAACAACCATGATGACATCACACATCCTTGTCTAAGGCCTAATTTTACTGGGAAATAATCTCCCTCTCCCCTACATATTCTAACCCAAGCCTCAGTATCGTCATAAAAACTTTTCACTGCTTTCAATAACCTACCTCCTATTCCATACATTTGTAACATCTGCCACATTGGCCCTATCCACCCTGTCATACGTCTTTTCCAAATCCATAAATGCCACAAAAATCTCTTTACCCTTATCTAAATACTGTTCACCTATATGTTTCACTGTAAACACTTGGTCTACACCCTCTACCCTTCCTAAAGCCTCCTTGTTCATCTACTATCCTACTCTCCATCTTACTCTTAATTCTTTCAATAATAACTCTACCATACACTTTACCAGGTATACTCAACAGACTTCTTCCCATATAATTTTTGCATTCTCTTTTATCCCCTTTGCTTTTATACAAAGGAACTATGCATGCTGTCTTGCCAATCCTTAGGTACCTTACCCTCTTCCATACATTTATTAAATAAGAGCACCAACCACTACAAAACTATATCCCCACCTGCTTTTAACATTTCTGTCTTTATCCCATCAGTCCCAGCTGCTTTACATTCTTTCATTCTACCCACTGCCTCACAAACTTCCCCCACACTCACAACTCACTCCTCCTCACTCCTAGAAGATGTTATTCTTCCTTGCTCTATACATGAAATCACAGCTTCCCTATCTTCATCAACATTTAACAATTCCCCTTCTTCTTTCTTTCTTTCTTTCTTTCAACAAACCAGCCATATCCCACTGAGGCGAGGTGGCCCAAAAGGAAAAACAAAAGTTTCTCCTCTTAAATATAGTAATATATACAGGAGAAGGGGTTACTAGCCCCTTGCTCCTGGCATTTTAGTCGCCTGTTACGACATGCTTGGCTTATGGAGGAAGAATTCTGTTTCACTTCCCCATGGAGGTAAGAGGAAATAAATAAGAACAAGAACTGGTAAGAAAAATAGAAGAAAACCCAGAGGGGTGTGTATATATATGCTAGTACATGTATGTGTAGTGTGACCTAAGCATAGTAGAAGTGGCAAGATGTACCTGAAACCTTGCATGTTTATGAGACAGAAAAATAACAATTCCCCTTGTCATTATATAATTAAAGACTATCAGGTGCTGGAGGCTCACCTATTACTACCTATGTTTATATTAATAGTCTTACTATTTTTTTTTTTAGCTCAGCCCCTAAGCTATACACTGCTCAATCTGCCAAGAATGAAAGTAAACAAAGCGATGCTGCTGCTAGTCCCATTACCGTGCAAGGACCAACTGCACCTCTGGAAGTAACAGCTGAACCCAAAAAAAAGAAGACAAAACCTGATTCCCCAAATACTGCAGCACAAATTTCTAACATGATGACTCAAGCTCAGGAAATGGCAGAAAAGGTATAGTATTTAGAATGTTGATCATCTGTTTACAAATTTTTCATATTTTTTTTTTTTTCAACAAGTCGGCCGCCTCCCACCGAGGCAGGGTGACCCAAAAAAGAAAGAAAATCCCCAAAAAAGAAAATACTTTCATCATCATTCAACACTTTCACCACACTCACACATTATCACTGCTTTTGCAGAGGTGCTCAGAATACAACAGTTTAGAAGCATATACGTATAAAGATACACAACATATCCCTCCAAACTGCCAATATCCCAAACCCCTCCTTTAAAGTGCAGGCATTGTACTTCCCATTTCCAGGACTCAAGTCCGACTATATGAAAATAACCGGTTTCCCTGAATTTTTTTTTTTTTTTTTTTTTTTTTTCAACAAGTCGGCCGTCTCCCACCGAGGCAGGGTGACCCAAAAAAGAAAGAAAATCCCCAAAAAGAAAATACTTTCATCATCATTCAACACTTTCACCACACTCGCACATTATCACTGTTTTTGCAGAGGTGCTCAGAATACAACAGTCTAGAAGCATAAACATATAAAGATACACAACATATCCCTCCAAACTGCCAATATCCCAAACCCCTCCTTTAAAGTGCAGGCATTGTACTTCCCATTTCCAGGACTCAAGTCCGACTATATGAAAATAACCGGTTTCCCTGAATCCCTTCACTAAATATTACCCTGCTCACACTCCAACAGATCGTCAGGTCCCAAGTATCATTCGTCTCCATTCACTCCTATCTAACACGCTCATGCACGCTTGCTGGAAGTCCAAGCCCCTCGCCCACAAAACCTCCTTTACCCCCTCTTTCCAACCCTTTCGAGGACGACCCCTACCCCTCCTTCCTTCCCCTATAGACAGACAAAAGACACCAGCAATCCTACCATCATGTAAAACAATTACAGGCTTTCGTTTTACACTCACTTGGCAGGACGGTAGTACCTCCCTGGGTGGTTGCTGTCTACCAACCTACTATATATTATTCATATTATTAGCAGAATTTAATTGGTATTTAAGTTAGTACAGTAACTTGCTCTCTAATTATACTATAGGCACAGTAGGCACTACTGCTGGTTTAAAAACTTCAATTTTATCTATATTGTATGTGTACTTTTTCCCAAACTCCTACTTGGCTCCTACCACAATCTTTTTAATAATATCAATCATTAAATCATTTAAGAGTGCAGCTAATTGTTCAGAAGAAATACCCACCATTATCTACAAGAAAGCTGCATAAGTTTTTTATTTTTTTTTACCTCTTGCCATCTGCTATGGTAGGGTGACTCAAAAAAGTACACATATTTGCCCTCAATCATTTAATAACTATCTTGCCAGAAGTGTACTGCCATCACTATTCAAATAACCTTCCAACCACAACATCTTCACCCCAAATGCATGAATATGATCTCCAACTCTTTCAGTATGTCTCTATAAATTGTCTGAAGACACTAAAGCCATATTCAACATTCTCTTTATTTAATGCTAGTTTAGCCAAGGCATCAACAATATCATGGTCTTGGAGGCATACCTGGAGTATACCTGGAGGGGAATTTAGGGGTCAATGACCCCGTGGCCCAGTCCGTGACCGGGAAATCCACAAAAATTGAACTATCCCTCTTTCCATATCTTTCACATCCTTCCCTACCTGACCAGTCAATCCATCGTTCCTCCCTCCATCCCCCTATTTTTCCTGCATTTTTTTATTTAAATATTTTTTTAACACACTCCCAAGCTTTGATAGCCGTATCGTGTGTGTGGGTTCTGATATCTTAAGCAATAGTGGCAGTCCTTTGAGGGGGAAAACTGTGGGAAAGAGAGAATTATGTCTTGAATGATTGTACTGTTGGCCGTGAACATATATACTTGATTCTGTGTATACTTTAAGTTGAAAATGTATAAAATATTGAAAGTGCCAAGGACCAGCTTAAACCCAGTGTTGTAGAAAAAAGGGAAGTGTTATTAATGTTGAACTCGTTTTACTGTGGAGTGGTTTGAGAATCTGGACTGATCATTAAACTGTAGTGAAAGGAGTAGACTAATTCAGGGAAACAAACTGTCCATTACTGAGAAAGAGCATTTAGTATAATTAAATGTGAAGTGAGTTAGGGGGAATGATTATCCTTAGAGGCCTATGGGAAAACTGGCTTTGTTTACTGGGATAGTTTGAAGTTTTTTGATTTGTACTCCCTGCATTGCAGGCAAGAAAGATATATTATTATCTATACCTGAAAAATCGTAGAGGGACTGGTCCAAAATCTTCCCAAGCAAATCATTCCCTACGAAAGCAAAAGACTAGGCAGATGATGCAACATACCCCACTGAAAAGCAGGGGTGCCATGAGTACACTAAGAGAAAGCACAATAAATGACCAGGGTCCAAGACTGTTCAGCAGCCTACTATCATATATAAGGGGAATTACCAACAGGTCCCTGGCTGTCTTCAAGAAGGAACTGGACAGATACCCAAAGTCAGTGCCTGATCAGTCCTGCTGTGGTTCATATATGCTGGATTGTGTGTGGCCAGCAATGACAGCCTGGGTGGCCAGTCCAGCATTGACCCCCTAGAACAACCTCCAGGTAGGTAGACTTTCCATCTTCCACCGAGATAGGGTGGCCCGAAAATGAAGAAACACTTTCACCATCATTTCATGACCATCATTCCAGAGGTGCAGTGATATTATTGCTCAGATGACCCTCCAAGTTGCAGTATCCCCACCCCTCCTTCAGAGTGTAGACACTGTACTTCTCACCCCCAGGACTCAAGTTTGGTTAACAGGTTTCCCTGAATGCCTTCATAAGTGTTACTTTGCTTGCACTCCAACAGCATGTCACATCATAAAAACCACTTGCCTCTACTCACTCTTATCTAACAACAGAGTGGGAATTGCTTTTAAACTTTCCAATACTAGGTATATAATGTAATTGGGAAGTAGATGATAAGTAATAAGAAAATAGAAAGAGGTACTGTATGTGCATGTATTTCAGTTATCTACTAATTTTACATAAATTTTGCCCTTGATGCTGTTTGTATAATGTAATTAACATAAAATTTCCTTTTGTAATTCATTTTCTGATGATTTTTCTTCAGGTACGAGCAAGTACAGTAACAATAACAGTCCCTCGACAAGAAGGACAAAATCCTCCACCTGCAGAGGAGAAGAAGAAAGAAGGGAAATCACGCAACAAGAAAAACTTAAGGTGTGCTGGTGGACAGATATGGGAGGACCACTCTCTGAATGAATGGGACACCGGTAAGTTAATTAATTTGTTTTATGTGTAGTACAATTTTTTTGTATTGTACCGAATGATTGGATAACTGAGAAAACATGGGAAAGATTGCTGCACTTTTCAAAATAGAAGAAACAAAATTTCATATTGTCATTTCCTGTGAGTGCTGCCCTTCATTTCTTAGTGTTATCATTTGATTATTTATTTTTTTGTTGGTGTGGAGTAGCTTTGGTTCTGTCTTCGTTTTGGCTGTTATGTCCTTTTAAAAATTTCCCTAATGTATGAAAGAGGGGACGGTACCTTAGGATTGGCAGAGAGCATGCATAGCTCCCTTGTATAAAGGTAAAGGGGACAAAAGAGAGTGTAAGAATGTAGGAAAGCGGGAGATTATTTTCCAGTAAAGGTGGGCCTTATACAGGGATGCATGATGTCACCATGGTTGTTTAATATATTTATAGATGGGGTTGAAAGAGAAGTTGGGGAGAGGTGTAGGATTATAAGATAAAGAAGGAAATTGAAAATTGACATGGGGAAGAGCAATATGATGAAGATAACAAAAAATTTATGTAATGAAAGATTGGATGTGAGATTGGAGGGAGGGAGTATGGAGGAAGTAAATGTATTCAAATATTTAGGAATGGACTTGCTTGCAGACAGGTCCATGAAAGATGGAGTAAACCATAGAATTGATGAGGAAGAAAAAGTAATTGGTGCACTGAGGCATCTGTGGAGACAAAGAACATTATCCACGAAGGCAAAAAGGAATATGTATGAGAGTATAGCGGTACTAAGGCTCTTATATGGGTGTGAAGAATGGGTTGTGAATGTTGTAGCAAGGAGGAGGCTGGAGGCTATAGAGATGTGTCTGGGGGCAATGTGTAGTGTTAATATTATGCAGAGAATTCATAGCTTGGAGATTAGGAGGAGGTGTAGTGTTACTAAAAGTACAATCCAGAGAGCTGAAGAGGGATTGTTGAGGTGGTTCAGACATTTAGAGAGGATGGAACAAAATAGGATGACTTGTAGGGCATATGAATCAGTAGTGGAGGGAAGGTGGGGTAGGGGTTGTTTTAGGAAAGGTTGGAGGGAGAGGGTAAAGGAGGTTTTGTATACAAGGGGCTTAGACATCCAGCAAGCATGTGTGAGCATGTTAGATTGGAATCCTTGCTTATGCCCCGCAGAATGAAATCCTGGCTGCTCTGCTGTCTGGTCCTGCTGTTTCCATTTATAACCTCTCAAACTGCCTGTTCTTGTCTACACTATCAATTTCCCTTAGATTCCCTTTGTTATACAAAATATTTATCTGGTTCTGCTTCCCTTCAGTGTCTTTAGATTAAATTCTGTTAGCCTTTCCTTGTGGCTCATGACCTTTACCTTAAGAACAAGCTTTGTGTGTACTTTTGCACTTTCTCAAGTTTCTTAACATGCTTTTTCTGGTGCAGGTTCCATACAAGTGCTGTATACTTTAAGATGGACCTGACAGATGTTGAATAAAGAGCCAGAAATGATTATTGAGATTTCTTCTTTCTTTCAACACACCGGCCTTATCCCACCGAGGCGGGGTGGCCCAAAGGGAAAAACGAAAGTTTCTCCTTTTACATTTAGTAATATATACAGGAGAAGAGGTTACTAGCCCCTTGCTCCCGGCATTTTAGTTGCCTCTTACAACACGCATGGCTTACGGAGGAAGAATTCTGTTCCACTTCCCCATGAAGGTAAGAGGAAATAAACAAGAACAAGAACTAGTAAGAAAAATGGAAGAAAACCCAGAGGGGTGTGTATATACATATATGCTTGTACATGTGTGTGTAGTGTGACCTAAGTGTAAGTAGAAGTAGCAAGACGTACCTGAAACCTTGCATATTTATGAGACAGAAAAATGGACAGCAGCAATCCTACCATCATGTAAAACAATTACAGGTTTCCGTTTTACACTCGCTTGGCAGGATGGTAGTACCTCCTTGGGCGGTTGCTGTTTACCAACCTACTACCTATTGAGATTTGTGAAGGCCAATATGAGCCTTTGGTAGTATACCAGGCACTATACTCACCCTCTAGATCTTTCTCTTTCAGTGAAGTCCGTAGCCTCTGTCCCCCTAGGCTGTACCCCCATTTCTTGTCTTCTTGCCATTTCCCAGATCTTCATGAACTTGCATTTACTGGGGTTGAATTCAAGCAACCACTTATCTGACCAATCTTATAATTTTTCCTCATCTGTTTTTATTCTACTCGTCGATTTTACATTCAGCAAACAGGGATATATCTGAATGTGATTCACATAAACAGGAAACAGTCCTGGTCCTAATACCAATCCTTGCAGAAACCTGCAGTTACTCTTCCCCATTCTGATGTCTCTTCTCTGACAGTCACTCTGCTTCCTTACCCTAAAACACTTTGTTCCACCGGACTATGTTCCATGTTATTCCCAGCATTTTACGGGGTACGGTATCAAATACCTTCTCACGGTCTAAGAAAATGCAATCCACCCATCCCTCTTTTTCCTATCACACATCTGTTACTTAGTCATAAAACTCTAACAAGTTAGTAAAACAGGATTTGCCATCTCTATACTCATGCTGGTTATTGCTTGTGAAGTCATTTCTCCCCAAGTGTTCTTCCACTCTTCCTCTAATAATTTTCTCTATTACTTTGCAAGATATGCATGTGAGAAAAACTGGTTTGTAGTTGAACATTAAAATGGTATAAAATACCGACAGATTGTTAGGTAAGACACATATGCAACAGTTAGGTATCTTTATTTCGAAACGTTTCGCCTACACAGTAGGCTTCTTCAGTCGAGTACAGAAAAGTTGATAGAAGCAGAAGATACTTGAAGACGATGTAATCAGTCCATCACCCTTAAAGTTTTGAGGTGGTCAGTCCCTCAGTCTGGAGAAGAGCATTGTTCCGTTGTCTGAAACAATATGAAGTTGAAGTGACAGAATGGGGCCTTATATAGTGCCAGGAGGTGAGACGTAGGTTGCTTTGGGAGGGCAGGTCCCTCTCAAACCCAGCCGTTCTCACTAGTAGAGGTTGTCGAAGTTGATGGTCTGTACCAAGATACCCTTGTGTTGCAGTGTCTGACAGAATGAACATTAAAATGGTATAAAATACCGACAGATTGTTAGGTAAGACACATATGCAACAGTTAGGTATCTTTATTTCGAAACGTTTCGCCTACACAGTAGGCTTCTTCAGTCGAGTACAGAAAAGTTGATAGAAGCAGAAGATACTTGAAGACGATGTAATCAGTCCATCACCCTTAAAGTTTTGAGGTGGTCAGTCCCTCAGTCTGGAGAAGAGCATTGTTCCGTTGTCTGAAACAATATGAAGTTGAAGTGACAGAATGGGGCCTTATATAGTGCCAGGAGGTGAGACGTAGGTTGCTTTGGAAGGGCAGGTCCCTCTCAAACCCAGCCGTTCTCACTAGTAGAGGTTGTCGAAGTTGATGGTCTGTACCAAAGCAAGCAACCTACGTCTCACCTCCTGGCGCTATATAAGGCCCCATTCTGTCACTTCAACTTCATATTGTTTCAGACAATGGAACAATGCTCTTCTCCAGACTGAGGGACTGACCACCTCAAAACTTTAAGGGTGATGGACTGATTACATCGTCTTCAAGTATCTTCTGCTTCTATCAACTTTTCTGTACTCGACTGGTTTGTAGTTCAAAGCCTTCTGCCTATCTCCTTAAATATAGGGCTACATTTGCTGTCTACCAGAATGGCAACTGTCCTGTATCCATTGCATTTTTTGTAGATCATAACTGGTGGTTCAAACAATGCTTCCATTCCTTCTTGTAGAATCCATAGTGACACTTTGTCAGGTCTCAGTGCCTTTGATGTATCCAGGTCCATCAAAATCTTGTTGTGTGGATGGCATTCAGTACTTGTCAGTCCATCCTGTTCCCTACTTATTTTGGTATTGCCCATTTCTACTGAGAAGACCTCTTCAGATAGTTTGATAAATGCTTCACAGATTTTCCTTGTCATTGTGAGCTGCTCTTTTTCTTTCCTTCCTCAGTCGAATTAATTAGTCCTTTACCATCATCTTTCTTCATATGTGACTGTGATGCAGTTTTGGTTCATGTGTGGCCTTTGCTGCTGTGTCATTCTCAAATTGTTGCTCAACCTCTCCTCACCCTAGCATATTCGTTTCTGGCTAATCTACTTGCTTCTCTGTTCTCATGTGTGGGCAAAATGTCATTAATAAAGTATCCACTACACTTAGGTTTCATTTATTCTACCTTGTCATTTCGTATGCCATTCCAGTTCCTGCACTGTTTCTTTATGAATTTTGTTCTCTTTTTTTCAGATGATTTCCGGATATTCTGTGGTGACCTTGGAAATGACGTTACAGATGAATTACTAACTCGCTATTTTAGCCATTTCTCTTCATTTGTGAAAGCAAAAGTGGTGAGGGATAAGCGCACAAATAAAAGTAAAGGATATGGCTTCATAAGTTTTTCTGATCCACAAGACTACATACGAGCCATGAAGGAGATGAATGGTGAGTACAGTTTAAGTTTTTCCATTTTGAGTACTACTTTTATTGCAGTACATTCCTTGTTTTTAGTTCTCCTATATTGTGTGACTTTTGTTTGGCATAATTTACTGGCAGTAGATGACAAAATATCAGCATGCAGGGAAATACATATCACTATCTTGTTTGAGGAAAAGTGGAGGCCTATTAATCATTTTGCCCTCTGGCAGGATTACCAATCTTTTTTTATGTTAAAATTTCAAATTGTGGGTAAATCTTGCAAACTTCTGCTTACATTCAGTATTCAATATATCTTTAATTTTCAATATTGTACTTAATATTTCTTAGTCTTGATAAGTTTAATTTCTAATTTCCATGGGAAAACAGATTTGAATTCTTCCCCATAGGCAGTTAAGTCGTAGAAATTGATCAAAGTGCCTGTAACAAGAGATAGTTGTCCCTTTCCTGCATGCAATTACCATACTAAAAAATTAAGGACATTTTTGGGTTAGTGTGATTGAATGTTTGTAGTACAGATGTTCAGCATGAACTGATTGTTAATGACATTGAATGAAAGGAAGATGGATATCCTACCATTGAAGCAAATTTAAAAGGGTTTGACTGGGAAGGATTTAAAATACTGTAATTAGTTCAGGTAAATTCAAGAATTGTGAAGTTTAGAATATCAGTGGGCTGTAACAAATGTTTATGCATCTTGCACCTTGAGGTAAGAGGCATTTCTGCACTCAAGTTCCATGAAATACCAACAGGAATTGCAACTCATCTTTATAAATTTTATAGCACTACTTATAAATTTGTTGATAAATTTTCTGTCAAGTTTGCCCTCTGTTTATGTTTTTCCATGCACATGTTCACTCCCACTTCCTTGCTGACTCAAAGTGAAGATTCAAAGGATCATTCATATGCCTCTGTATGGCTGATAAGGGCTTTTTGTCAACATGAGTAGCTCATACTATTTATGTAGCCATTTAGTTTGCTCTTTCCTCCTGGAGGAGGAGGAAGATCTGTATATATCCTGTCTATCATATAGGCCATATTATATAACATTAAAAGTGTTACCCAGTATATAGTAAGCATATCTCTGTAATGGCATAGCTCTGATACTTTGGTCATTGGATTGGCTAGAAAATATAAAAGAACTCATTATTGTAGCCCTTGTCTGTTTCATGGAATCAAACCTGTAATGCAGTACAAATTGACTTTGCTTTATAAGCTTTTAACCATGGGAATGAAGCCATCTTTTGATGTTGAATGTATTGGGAGGGTGATGCTGTATGATCATTCTAATGCCTATTTGTCCTGACTTTACTACTGCAACTACATCATAAGAAATAAATATCAAAATGGTATACAATACTGACAAGTTGGTAAGTAAGACACATAGGCAACATTTAGGCATCTTTTTTTCTGAAATGTTTCACCTACACAGTAGGCCTCTTCAGTCGAGTACAGAAAGTAGGCAGGAGCAGTAGAGATGTGAAGACGATGTAATCAGTCCATCACCCTTGAGGATATAGATTTGAGGTTGTCAGTCCCTCGGCCTGGAGAAGAATTCTGTTTAATAGTCTGGAACAATGTGAAGAATAAGTGCCAATGTGGAGACTTATATACTGTCAGCAGGAGAGGTGTAGAGTAGTAGAAGAAAAAATGTAATCACTGAGAGGTCATGTCTCTCTCAGATCCAACCATCCTCTCTTGAAAATGTTGTCCAAGGTGTTTTCTCTTCTGTACAAGATGCCATTGTGTTGCAGTGTCTGACAGAGTGAATATCAAAATGTTATACAATACCAAATGTAATCACTGAGAGGGACATGACCTCTCAGTGATTACAGTCTTTCTTCTACTACTCTACACCTCTCCTGCTGACAGTATATGTATAAGTCTCCACACTGTCTCTTGTTTTTCACATTGTTTCAGACTATGAAACAGAAATCTCCTCCAGGCTGAGGGACTGACAACCTCAAATCTATATCTTCAAGGGTGATGGACTGATTACATCGTCTTCACATCTCTTCTGTTCCTGCCTACTTTCTGTACTCGACTGAAGAAGCCTACTGTATTGGCGAAACGTTTCGGAATAAAGATGTCTAAATGTTTCTTATGTGTCTTACCAACATCATGAGGAATGATTCTTTTGTTTGCTAAAAACTTACTTTCATTTACATACTGAAAATATAGGTAATGACTTTCTTTACATCTCTGTGGTTCTCTACCTTTAAAGCAAACTTAACTATTTTACATCTGCCATTAATTTACTTTCCGTTTATCCTTGGGAGTCATAGCATTTTATAGTACTATTATTACAATAAAAATATAGTGTCTGTCTGTATTTAGTAAGCTATTTTAATTTCCTCTATGTATCTTAATTTTTGTGTCATTAATCAGTCTGCTAATAACCCCATTTCTCATATACTCTCTTTTTAATCTAAATTAAACCATTCTGTTCTTCACCATTTTGGCACGTTTTAATCTTTATTAAATATTAAGTACAGTGTTGTCATTTCAAAAATCTTGTGCATATAATCACAGTAGAGTTCCACTTGAGCAGAAATCTAAAATATTAAAACATTATATAAAAATTCTGTAAAAATAGCCCTTGACTATTTAAAACTGCTTTAATGTTACTGTCTTGTATAAAACTACTTGATCAAATGTTGTAGTGCATAAATTTATCATAAACGAGCATTGGCTGTGAGCAAAGTAGTGAAATAACTCGGCATTCTGTTAAGTGTCAGTCACATAATATGGAAATGTTCTTTTGAAAAGTCAGTGTAATGCAGTTTTTTATTTAATACATTTTTAAGGTATTACAATTCAATTTTCTCATTGACATTGTTTTCCTTGTTCATGGTGAATTATTTTTAACTGATAATTTTTGTATCATCAGTGTTGCATTTCTGTTCTATTTACCAGTTCTTAACTCTAACTGGTTCATTTGGTCCATACTTCTAGTAAAGAACAATTTTTGATAATATTTTAACATAATTTTTTATAAATAAATTTAATGGGCATTTCAGAGGAATTGGAAAATTAAAGAGGAACCATTTTCATTAGGAAGTGTATGAGAGGGAGAGCAAGAATGTTTAGCCTAAGCGTAAAACTGGGCTTGAATGGTGGTTTGGGTAGATTGGAGGATCTTTTAATGACTTGGAACTATTTAGTTATTTTTGTAACATGCAAAAGGACTGTTTAACAGTTCACAGGTTATATGCTGCTAGGTGATGAGTGGAAATGAAGCACCTCATCTGCCCATGGGACCCCACCCATGGGAAACGAAGAGGTGAAAGAGTGGTTTATCCTCTTGGTGGAGTGTGCTACTTCTGAAGCTTGCTTTATGTCTGTCTCCGCCACTGCTGCTTTCACCACCCACCATGCTTATAACTTGCGGGAAGTTTGGTGACCTCAGGCTGTTTGTTGCATGACGTATCCAGGGATGTTTAGGTGGTGAGGAACCTCCAGCTCCCCATCCAGAAGATGCAAAAACTCCACTTCGTTTATTTTCATTTGTTATCAGGTTTCCTTCATCAAGAACAAATCCAAGCCAGCTTCGTTCATTGTTGCCTTTGTAATTCTCTAAGGAATTTTTAAAGGCATCATTATTATTTTTACCATCACTGCGTTTTCCTAATGGACTCCAAGTTCCTGAAGTAAATATCGAATGGAAGCGACGGTACTGGGGTTTCTGCTGTGTTTGCTCTAGTTGTTTTGGGGATACCAGAGCTGCATACCGGGCTCCTCCATTACCACCTGCAGGTTATTAAATATTAGAATTTATTCTACATTTTTAACTGAGTACTGTCTAACATTAGTGCAGAAATACAATTACTTTTACTGTTCTTAAAAATGACAAGCTAGTGAGTGGACATATTAACCCTTTCAGGGTCCAAGGCCCAAATCTGGAGTCACGCACCAGTGTCCAAGAATTTTCAAAAAAAAAATTTGTTATTTTTTCTTATGAAATCGTAGAGAATCTTTTTGTGAAGGTAATAAAACAAAAAGTACGAAATTTGGTGGAAAATTGACGAAATTATGCTCTCGCGAATTTTGATGTGTCAGCGACATTTACGAATCGGCGATTTTGCCGACTTTGACTCCCATTTTAGGCCAATTACATTATTCCAATCAACCAAATTCTTAGCTATTTCACTAGTATTACTTCTATTCTATCGATTGAGCACAAGAAATCGCCAAGTCAACTGTTTCAACTACAAAATAAAGTGATCGGAAATTGTTAATTTGGCCAATTTAACACAAAGTTCAAAATATTCCAATTTCAAAATAGGGTCCAGAATAAACAATGTAGGCATTCCTGGCACTAAACTAATGTTTCCTCTGTTCATTAGTTATGTTTTGAGGCTTTACAAATAAATTCCATTTTTTTTTATTCACATAATGAATTTTTATTCACACCAAAAAATAGAAGATTTACTGTTATGCAATACTGTAATAATTGTATAAATATCATCACTATATTTGTGAATGTATATTAGACCCACCAGCTGACGTGTATTAGACGTGTGAGGTCGTTTGTTTACGCTTGAATATCGGCAAAAATTTAACATTTCCGCTACTTTGAGCTCAGTTTCAAGCCATTTCCAGTGCTAAAACCAATCAAAATCATCACTATTTCTGTAATATGTCTTCCATTCTATCAAATGAGACCAAGAAATCGCAAATACAACTATAAAAAACATACGAAAAAACACTGCAAAGTTGCTGTTTTAATCGAAAAATCATGATTTAAGTTTTTTTCTCTCATTATACACAGTGTGCTGCAGGATCTGTTTTATGTGGTGCACACATACCACATAGATGTATTCTCTCATATCTAGGCCCAAATGTACCACTCACAGTTTATCAGAGTGAGCTGAGCTCATGGCGTAGATCTACGGTTTGGACCCTGAACGTAAAGCCATAGATCTACGGGACGGACCCTGAAAGGGTTAATAAATAATGGGACTTTTTTTTTTTTTACCACATCAGATGTGTCATGAAGGTAGGGTGACCCTATACAAAAAAGAAACGCAACTGCCATCATTCATTCAACATCTGTCTTGCCAGAATTATGCATGTATTACAATTTAGTAACCCTCCAAAGAGCAACATCTGCAATAACCCCCCATCCTCATCCAGCTAACCATTCCCTTGAATGTTAAAATAGGTTAACTTGCTTACTCTCCAACAGTATGTCAAACACTAGAGGCCACTTGTCTCCATTCCTTCCAGTGTAACACATCCACACAAGCCTGCTGAATGCTCAAGCCTTAGCTACTTACCTCCTCCACAACCTTCCCCTCCTAACTCTTCATGGTACAACTGATGCATCTCCTTCCCTCCACCCCAGGATTTATACACCCTCTGCATCTTCTTTGCTTTATCTTACCTAAATGAATAATACTTTTCGTAATCCACACCATCTTCTAATTTCTTTGCTAACAATTACTGTATAATAATTCACTGAATCATGCAACATCATAACTTGAATATAATTAGAAATGAGAATTAACATTATATGCACCAGAAAGGTTGGTTAGAGAAAAATCACATTTCGGTTATATATTCAGGCCTTACTTTACGGCATTTCACTTTAGGGCATTTTCCTAACATAGAGGTTTTAAATTATATATGCATTCTTCATTTATTTAAACTTCTTACAATAAATATATCACCACTCACTATAAGCTCAGGACGAAAATATTTTAAGGTAAGTAATGTGTGTACTGTATATGCAATTTTAAGGCCTAGCTCTATTGCTCACTTAATAGATGATAGTGTATTAATCATGTTATCAGGCCTTTACTTGTATTGGAAAGTGAGTAAAGGCTTTCATTCATTTTACAGCAATCTTTGCTTTACAGCAGTAGCCCAGAACCTAACCTGCTGTATAAGTGGGTCCCTCCTGTATTGTGTACATGCACTTTCTCAATATTACAGTAGTTGTCACTTAATACCTGTGAAAACACTCAGTATCAGAGACAATTACTGTAAGCTCCAGTAATGGTAATTTGTTTCTGTGGACACACACTTTAGTACCTCTTGTTGGTGTAACTCTTCATTCTCACCTCCGACTCCCTCAAACACCAGTTTTCCAGTTTGCATTTGCCCCCTGTATTCATTTATATAATTTCTTGGGTGGGTTCTTTTTCCTGCTTACATCCTTGTTGGGTACTTGCTGAGGCATTAATCTTTCTGTTTCATGTTTACAGTTCGTGACTCACAAAATCGCTATAACCTGATTGCAAACAAGCCATGGTATGGGTGGGGTTAGAACCCATGGCAAGTGAGTCGTAAAACTCCAGGCCAGCTTGTAAGCCATTATCCAGCTGGCCCAGTGGCTTACACACTGGCCTGGAGTTTTATGACTTGCTTGCCATGGGTTCTAACCCTACCCATACTCAGGGTTAGGGAACTGCACCACTTAACGTTTGAGACGGAATGTTCAGTAAGTTTAATTTTAACAACCATAGAATTGACTGGGAAAAAATAAACCAAGAGTTATCAGACATATCCTGGGAATCAGACATGAGCACCCTAAATCCCCACCAGTGCCTAGAAAAGCTGAATACGGTAGCATACAAAGTATGTATGAAGCACGTACCATTGAGGAAACCCAGAAGATCAGATATAGAGAGAGAGCATAGAAGATGGTACAGAAGAAGAAAATGGGTTACTGAATTGCTTAAAAACACAAATATGTTGCAACAGGGGAAAGACAGGCTTAACCAAGAGATCACTGAATTAGAGCAGAAACTCAGGATGTCATACTTAACGGAAGAAGTACAAAGGTAACAAAGGGCTATACAGGATATTGCAAGAAATCCAAAATATCTCTATTCCTATGCAAAATCCAAACTAAGAACCACCTGTAGAATTGGACCATTATGAGTCGGTGTTCAGCAACCCACTAAATGAGAGCAAGGTAGAAAATGCAGAAATATTTTTCACTCCAGCAGAAGGCCGCGCAGACCAGCTAACGGACATTAGTACAAGTCCTATAGATTTCGAAAAAGAAATGGACAACATGCCCACGTACTCAGCACCTGGACCAGATTCGTGGACTGCTGTATTTATAAAGAAGTGCAAAGTACCACTAGCACGAGCCCTCAGTATTCTTTGAAGAAAGAGCTTAGATCTAGGTGAAATACTGAAGGCCTTAAAGAGTGCAGATGTAGCTCCTTTGCATAAGAGCACTAGCTAAAAATTACAGACCAGCAGCCCTAACTTCTCACATCATAAATATCTTCGAAAGAGAGATGAGACGGCAGATTACAAATTTCATGGACCAGCACACCCAGTATAACCCGAATCAGCATGGTTTTAGAGCAGGACGATCATGCCTGTCACAGGTGTGGAACCTTTATGACAGAATTACGGAGGCATTGGAAGAAGACCAAAACGCAGATGTGATTTACACAGATTTTGCAAAGGCGTTTGACAAATACGATCATGGAGTGATAGTGCACAAAATGAGAGCCATGGGCATTACGGGGAAGGTAGGCAGGTGGATTTTTGGGTTCCTAACACACAGCAAAACAAGTAGTAGTAAACAGAGCAAGATCCAGCATCAGCGAGGTCAAAAGCTCAGTGCCCCAAGGTACTGTCTTGGCACCTCTGCTGTTTCTCATCCTTATAGCAGACTTAGATTAAAACATCCGTCACACTTTTGTATCATCATTTTCAGATGACACGAAAATAAACATGAAGGTCAATACGGTAGAGTACACTTGAAAAATTACAGGAAGACATAAGAAGAGTTTTCCAGTGGGCATGGAGAACAACATGATGTTCAGTGGTGATAAGTTCCAGCTGCTTAGGCATGGAAAGAATGAAGAACTCAAAAGGAACACTATATACAAAACTCAAGTGGGTCACCAAATAGAACAAAAGGAACAAGTAAAAGACCTGGGAATAATTGTCAGCTGACTTTTCTTTTAAGGAACATAACAAGAGAGCAACTAGGTAGTAGGTTGGTAGACAGCAACCGCCCAGGGAGGTACTACCGTCCTGCCAAGTGAGTGTAAAACGAAAGCCTGTAATTGTTTTACATGATGGTAGGATTGCTGGTGTCCTTTTTTTCTGTCTCATAAACATGCAAGATTTCAGGTACGTCTTGCTACTTCTGCTTACACTTAGGTCACACTACACATACATGTACCAACATATATATACACACCCATCTGGGTTCTCTTCTATTTTCTTTCTAGTTCTTGTTCTTGTTTATTTCCTCTTACCTCCATGGGGAAGTGGAACAGAATTCTTCCTCCGTAAGCCATGCATGTTGTAAGAGGTGACTAAAATGCCAGGAGCAAGGGGCTAGTAACCCCTTCTCCTGATTATATTACTAAATGTAAAAGGAGAAACTTTTGTTTTTCCTTTTGGGCCACCCTGCCTCGGTGGGATGCGGCCGGTGTGTTGAAAGAAAGAACAAGAGAGCAAGGAGTGATTGGTGGAATGATGAAGTAAAGGGTGTGATAAAAGAGAAAAAGGTAGCTTATGAGAGGTATTTACAAAGCAGAAGTGTTATAAGAAGAGTAGAGAATATGGAGAGTAAAAGAAAGGTGAAGAGAGTGGTGAGAGAGTGCAAAAGGAGAGCAGATGACAGAGTGGGAGAGGTACTGTCAAGAAATTTTAATGAAAATAAGAAAAAATTTTGGAGTAAGTTAAACAAGTTAAGAAAGCCTAGGGAACAAATGGATTTGTCAGTTAAAAACAGAGTAGGGAAGTTAGTAGATAGGGAATTGGAGTTT